AAGCTGACAGTCGCAGCAGCCTTCAGCTGAAGTAGGCCAGGAGGGATTTTTATACTCCAGTTAACCCTCGACACCACCGGGAGATGTTGAATTCTGCCCCACTTTACTGCACGCGAGTGTGTTACAGAGGAGAGACGTCTGTGTCTGAACGACTACACATCAGCTCCGATGGTTACAGACTGAATACCCCATCACTACACTGCGAATTATGTCCAGGAAGTTACAATATGGAACTGTAATATTTCACAATAAATGACATTTTTATCACCTCATTTGACCAAATTCAGAATTTTATTGTGAGATTCACGCAGGTAAATATAGTAATTTTACAGAAGCATACTGCTAAATCACAGTAATATGTAGGCACCGTATACAGCTGTCATTTCACCACAATTTACTGTAAAAATTAATTCAGATAGATTTCTTTGTCATTTTTATGGGGTACATAAAAACAAAATGCTGTTTCGCATTACATATATTTATATAATTCAATACAATTTTATTTATAAAGCCCAATATCACAAATTACAATTTGCCTCAGAGGGCTAATACAGCACTAACTTATTGTGAAAACTAGTAGCCAGTTAATTACTGTAAATGTACAATCAAATATTTTACTGTGGTTCAAACATTTAAAGGAGAATTTCAATTTAGTTTAAACCACCCTTGAATTTACAATGTAGTTTAGTGAGGTCTGTCGTAATATCAATGCATGAGTAGAACAAATTAAGTGTCTTAGCAACACTAAAGGAATTAACCATCTACTTTCTGTCCTCATGTTTCCCTTTTAAAGTGACAGTGAGGTTGAAGCTTGTTCCAGTTTGCTTTGGACAAAGGGCAGGGAAACATGGTCACCGCCCACTTGGGATGGAGATGGCAAAAGTTCCCACAAATGACCTTCAACTCTTTGAAACCTGTAGACACATCAGTTTTCTTGGGCTGCATTCAGACATCTTTTACAAGCATTTAAACCTTTGAAACCTGAGCAAGTTTGTTTGATTTCTTTTGAAAAGGTACTGAAAAGGCAACAAGCAACTTGGCAAGAAGTGTCAAACAAAAGTGAGAACTGCTATGTTTCCATGTGGCAGGGTTAATTCTGGGTATAAAATCTCAACACTTCTTTGGCACCAACCAGGGTCTGAAATTAACTCTTTACATCACCACTCTTTACGCCACTGTAACAGGCGAGTATGTTTCCTGTCTGCCACGAGGCTACTCTCACTAAAGATCTGAGTACTTCTTCCATCAGGTAAATGCCAGTGTTTGAAATCACACCACCAACACAGTGCAGGAGTGATTTAGGTACAACACTGGAATTGTCCGAGAGCGGCCCAGCAGAGCTCTGACCTGAACCTGATCGAATATCTGTGGAGAGACTTGAAAATGGCTGAACGATGCCGGTGTCCGTCCAACCTGACAGAACTTCAGAGGATCAGCAGAGAATAATGGCAGAAAATCCCCAAATCCAGGTGTGCAGAGCTCGTGGAGTCAGACCCAAGAAAACTTCAGGCTGTGATCGCTGCCAAAGCTCCTTCAACAAAGTTATTGATTTCAGTTTTTCCTTTTCAAAAAGGTTGGCAAAAATTTCTATAATTCTGTTTTTGCTTTGTCATCATGGGGTACTGACGGTAGATTGATGAGGGGAAATGTATATTTCAGTGATTTTAGCGAAAGACTTCAACTTAAAATATGAAAACAGTAATGGAGTCTCCATACTTTCTAAATACACTGCAAATGTACAGTTACTCTTCCTCCTCACTGTAATGAAGAACAGAGGCGTCAGAACCAGCTACGAAGCGCTATCGCAGTCAGAAAGCTTTCTATTAAAAGCTGTTTTAAGGAATGCATGATATCATGGATACGTCATCTGTATCGACCGATATCAGCTTTAAAATGATCAACCAACATTCTTTTTCTTATTTAGCGCAAGGAATAAATATTACAGTCACTGAATAATATTTCCTGTCTTCATCAGCTGGTGGGCCGTCATGATTAAGAGTATGTATGTATAATATGACGTTAATTCCACTACAGAAGAGACTTTATGATGATCACTAAAATTAGGTGGGGAAATAAGTGGATACATCAGTATTGGTTATCGACCAAATAAGTTGTTATATATCAGCAAAAAATCCAACATCCTGCATCTCTAGCTGTTTTCAGGCTTTTGATTGGCCAACATCTTCTTCGTCTTTGCGTGACTGGCCAACATGGCTTTAAGATGACATCACCGCTTGTTGGTTTGACATGGCTCTTGACAGATCCTCTATTGTGTTTTCATATTCTCACTTCAACAGAGACTATTTTAAAACAGTGCTTGTGAGGACGCCAGGACTTTTTGTGAGAACGAAGGAAAACCCAACTTTCAAAAATACCTGTGTATGTATGTCACTATTGGTACTCGATACTGACCGACATAACCCAGTACCAAGCAGTATCAAAACTTCTCCAGTCAAATGATCGTGCGTTTGGACCTTTTTGTACCCAAGTCTAGAATAAAATGACTTCTTATATGGTTTTGCTTGAAGTAGGGTTGCAGCGATATATAAGTTTCAAGGTATACTGTGGCATAAAAGTTGACGGTTATCATCGGTGTACATTTGTTAGCTACAAGACAAGACGGAGAGTCTCTCCTTGATTTGAGTTATTTTCTAAGAGGAGACTTTTTACACAAACTTCCATGAGCAAAATGTTTCAAGTTTCAATTATGGTAATAAAACATTTGTTCAACCAACAATATCCCTTCTGTTTTCATTCCTTTAAGGATCATTCTGACTGATGAGAAGATAAATTCTGTGATACCATGAAATTGTGATTTTTTTCTCTAAGATGATTATCGTACCGTGGAAATCTCATACCGTGGCAACCCTAATGTGGACAAAGATTTTTTAAAAAAGGTGCTTTTGTGGATGCCAGGACTTTTTTTGAGAACGACGGAAGAAAAACCCTAAGAAAAACACCTGTGTATGAGTGCACTAGGTAGGGCCGGCATCTGTACTCAACACTGACTGAAATAACCCAATACAAAGTAGTATCAAAACCTCTCCAAACGATCCTGCGTTTGAACCTATCTGTACCAGGACCTAGAACAAAGTGACTACTTGTTTAGTTTTGCTTGAAGTCAATCAGCTATCTTCACTTTTATGCAACGTGTGATTGACCCACTACGGCAGCAGCTACAGCTCCTACAGTCAGTGGTGAGATGAATTCAAGGGCAGTGTATGTGACACGAAATGGTTCAATGTATGGCATCATTTCATGCAACTGAATACTTCTATTCACATCAAATGAAGTAGAAATAAAAGGTATGAGATAAAGTACTCCATTGGTGTAACTTTCGTGGTACTGGGATTTATTAAACAATACCCAGACCTGGCACTGGGCCTTTGACCTGAGGGATCTACAGCTGGTCGTACTCCATGAAGCAGGTCTATAAATACACCTTCAGGGTCAGGGTTCATTAAACTGGAAGTCTATAATCACAGCTTTGGATAAGGAATTTTCATACACGGCCTTGTGCATGAGAAAACACTATCACATTGTAGAGAAGAAGGAAACTGCATTGACCACAGGGTGGCTGTGACTAAGGAGGTCCAGCGGGTCTTCCACTAATCAGAAGATTGGCGGTTTGATCCCCGGCTCCTGCACATGTCGAAGTTTCCTTGGTCACGATACTTTTTACATACGTATTCAGGGTGTCTTCACGCATCAAACACTTACGTTCAATGCTTTTTCAGACATTTTAATTTGAGACATTCAGGACGCCACAGAAGCTGCTCCTCTTTTTGGAACCACCGAAGAATTGCTAATCATTTCGCTTTCAGCCGTGCTTGGTGTTGCCGTGGGTAACAGTGTGACATCAGTACGTCAACAAGTCCAAATATTGCGAGTATCACAATACCCGGTGTTATCGTGAACCAGATGATATGTCACAGTCCTACACCACAACCATCTTCATGTTAACTTTGACATAAACATGTTGAACAACTTTACACCAGAATGTTTCCATTTAAAGACCTTCACACAGATACATCAGATGCTACAGTGGCACAGAGCCTGATGTTCAGCGCGGCAGGTTGGTGACAGTATTTCTACCCTGATGTGACACAGACAGGTCCACCAGCAGGAGGACAGGACAGACAGGTTCACTATAAGGAGTCAGACAGTGAGTGTGTGGCAGGAGGACAGGATGGTGAGACAGGTGGACCCGCAGACAGACAGACAGACAGACAGACAGACAGATGGCAGGCCTGCATGTCTGATGATGCTGAATTCTAAATGACTGGTAAATGGGACTGGAGGCGAACCCTGAGCAGGAGGCTTATTAGAGACAATCAACCAGAGATGAGGTCATATTCATGTCTTCATATGCACCTGATACATGTGCATGTTCAAGTGTGGCAGGCAGCTGCGGGGGAACACGCCCCACGGCTGTGTAATGCTATATGAATGCCACGCCTTGCTGGTGTCAGCTCGGCACGCCGGGCCTCCGGAGCTGCAGCAGGAGAGGCGCTGTCAGCCGGCTGCTGCTCCCCGGCCGACCTGCGCATCCAGGCCGGGAATGTGCGCTCTGCAGGCCCTGCGGCGCTCCGCACAGCGCCGATAAAAACCGCACATGCACAACGAATAACGGCGCCTGCAGCACAGATCCGCTCCGTGTGTGCAGATACAGACAGTGCTGAATGCGTTTCACCGGCTGATGGGAATCAAAGCCTTTTTCTCTGTCACCCCTCCACCACCTCCACCACCTCCACCCCTTCTCCTTTCTCTGCAGACACATGCAGCCACTAACGGGATTAATTGGCTTTTATTCCAGCGGATGTTAATTAACGGATCCGCCGTCCGTTCGGTCCCAAAATAAAGGTCCAGGATGACGCATCTGTACTTGCTGATGAGTTTTTTTCAGATCATAATTAATAAGCAGCAGACAGAGAGCAGACAGCAGGCTGAGTGTGGAGGGACAGAGATGCGGTTAGGTGAAGGGGAATGGGGCTACTTACTGTGCGGATCCGGGGTGAATCCTGGGAGAAAAGCCGCAGCAGCTCCGGGGACACAGAGGAGAAGAGTCCGGTCAGAGACCCGCGGAGACACGGCCGAGGCTTCGGCGGGATTTGGCCCGGTTTAGTCCCGGTTTTCACCGACTCCCCTTTCCCAGATATCCCAGATTTCCCTGATTTCCCCTGCTGCCACTCTGAATCCCAACACCGCTAACACCAGCGTCAGGATACAGGCAGGAGACACGGCGATTTCCGGGACAGACTTTCACAATAAAGCCTCCTCACTGCGATCTGCAAAAATAAAAAGATTAATTAAAATAACGTTTTTCTTACAAACAAAACAGCCACTCATTATCACTGTAAAGTATTTAAATAAAGCCCAAATTAAGTTTATTTTTTGACATTTATTTTTATTGTAGCTAGGTTACATTCTGATTTACTAAATTAAACTCTAAGGGACTGTTCTTTATTTAGGGTTAGGGTTTGTGATGTAGTAATAATAATAATAATAATAAGAAGAAGAAGAAGAAGAAGAATTGTCCTTCGGCCTCCCTGAGTGACTGGTGGATAATGCATGACCATAAATGAGTTATTATTCATTAATTACGTCATTATGTGTAACCACTTGTCCTGTTGGGGGCGTGGGGGTGGAGCCTTCCCTGGACAGGTTGCCAGACTATCACAGGGCTGACACATAGAGACAGACAACCATTCACACTCACATTCACACCTACGGACAATTTAGAGTCACCAATTAACCTGCATGTCTTTGGACTGTGGGAGGAAGCTGGAGCACCTGGAGGAAACCCACGCTGACACAGGGAGAACATGTCAGAGCACCTGGAGGAAACCCACGCTGACACAGGGAGAACATGTCAGAGCACCTGGAGGAAACCCACGCTGACACAGGGAGAACATGTCAGAGCACCTGGAGGAAACCCACGCTGACACAGGGAGAACATGTCAGAGCACCTGGAGGAAACCCACGCTGACACAGGGAGAACATGTCAGAGCACCTGGAGGAAACCCACGCTGACACAGGGAGAACATGTCAGAGCACCTGGAGGAAACCCACGCTGACACAGGGAGAACATGTCAGAGCACCTGGAGGAAACCCACGCTGACACAGGGAGAACATGTCAGAGCACCTGGAGGAAACCCACGCTGACACAGGGAGAACATGTCAGAGCACCTGGAGGAAACCCACGCTGACACAGGGAGAACATGTCAGAGCACCTGGAGGAAACCCACGCTGACACAGGGAGAACATGTCAGAGCACCTGGAGGAAACCCACGCTGACACAGGGAGAACATGTCAGAGCACCTGGAGGAAACCCACGCTGACACAGGGAGAACATGTCGGAGCACCTGGAGGAAACCCACGCTGACACAGGGAGAACATGTCAGAGCACCTGGAGGAAACCCACGCTGACACAGGGAGAACATGTCAGAGCACCTGGAGGAAACCCACGCTGACACAGGGAGAACATGTCAGAGCAATAATGAAGTTGTAAGAAAGAATTTTGTGTCATAAATGAAGCCTCCTAAATGTTTTTTTAATAAAGTGATTGTGATGTAATATCTCTTTTATCTCTGTCCAAGGAGCGACAGAAATGTGAAAATCCAACAATAATTTCTGTTTTTACAGTTTCTGGCTGATAAATGTAGACATTTTAAAACCTGCCTCCCAAACTCACCGGCAGGTTTGGAAGGCATGTTTTCTTCTAAAATCTGTAGTAATATAAATACTAAACATAACCATTTAAATGTGTATGTCCCTCCCCTAAACCAAAATGCACCACCTGCTCCCCCCTCATAAACAAAGAACAGTCCCTAATGTTATTTTGTTCCTCTACATCTCCATTCTTTTTCATATCTCCAGGTTGGACACTGTCACTGTCACTAAACACATTCTTATATTCAACTCGTCAATATTTGTTTATAATTTACTGATTTTATTGACTGATTAATTAGACGTATTAATGATTACACAGTTTTTCATGCTTCCCTTTTCTGTCCATTCTCAGACACGGTGTCACAGCCTCCATGTTGAAAACCTCTGACGTCTATTAGCAGAATAAAATGATCAATAAATGTATATTTTTAAATATTATTAAATACCAGATGTGTTGAACATTACACAAAGTCTAAGGAAGGCAAGAAGTCATCTGGAAATATCAGTTATAATTGTGCTGGTCTTTTATTGTGAAGCTGGTACTCTCTGACTTCCGGTAGTTGGGAGTTGTGACTTGACGCATCCTCCGCTCTCCACCGGATCCCAAAAACTCAGCGGGAGCGCGTATCCATGCCCTGCGCGTTCCCGGTGCCTCGTTTCCTGTCCTGCCCAACCCAGAATCAGCCTCAGCCAATCAGTTCTGATGACGTCATTCTATTCTATTCTATTCTATTCTATTCTATTCTATTACACTACGTTACGTTACATGACCTTACATTACATTGTATTCTATTCTATTACAGTATGGTAGAGTATGGCATTTGCTATATAAAAATTATAACAACAACAACAATGACAACAATAATAATAATAATATATTGTTTATTGTTACTTTTAATTACTCTACATATTTATTATT